TTAATCTTCTCTTAATTTCTTCATGAATGCAATTTTTATCCTTTCGTGTCATTTCCATATATGACCTGAGATGTTAGCTAATGTCATGCTTTAGTCTGGCATTCTGGTGATAAGATGTGAAACATCTTCAGTAAACGTAAGTTTTGAGGTTTTCACGGCGATGACAATGAAGAAAGTCGTCTTCTGGGTTTAGGCACCGTGTATTCTTCGTTTTGGCCGACGTTTCGGAAGAACGTAGCGCCTCCATCTTCAGAGCAGTTGAATGGCTTGGAATGCGGAGAGCAGTAGCTGTGGTGATAGGATGTGAAAGGTGCTGCTCCGAAAGGTTCCTCCGAAACGTCGGCCAAAACGAAGAATACACGGTGCCTAAACCCAGAAGACGACTTTCTTCATCTTCAGTAAAGTTTAAAACTTCTTGTTGCGTGCAAGATTAATAGTGAATAAATACGAGGCCAATGATTATACATGCTGACCTGGAAAAGCTATACCCTATGGAATGAAACTGAAGATGCACTGCCCAAGAATTTCCGTGAATGGATGAATAAAACCACTAAAATATCAAAACAACCATCCAGTCCACTGCCAATATTCTAACTCAACATGAAGCAAGAGATCCAACTGAAAGAGCAATGAACTTAAATGAATCTGAAGTCAATATTTAATTGTTGCTTTCTTTCCTCTCAGTCTCAGAGCCTCCAGCCTGGTTCAGAAACTCTGACCCTGACTGTTCCAAAGTTGGTGCTACATGACAGTCGAGTGGGGGGGGGGGGTGGACTACCTTTCCAGTCTCTTTCATCTTTACTGTCCACATCACCAACCCCTGGTGGGCATGAGGAGCCCAGAAGTTCAATAACGACGGCAAATTATTTTCCAAATGTCATAAATCAGTAATGACCGATATCAGTTTGGAGGCCAAACAAATAGCTATGTAAGGGGTGGGCCATAAAAACCGCCCCCCCCCCGCACTGCGCCCTTCAATGATCTATTGTGCTTAAAGAAATAGCTAGAAATTCTGTCGAGATATCAATCTTACAAATGTAACAGAACAAACAGAAACAACAAGCTCCATGGTTTTAGGCCACAAGCGAATTATACAGACCCAGAGACCGCCACTTGTCATCGAAGTTAGTGCCGATGTAACAAAAAGACATTATGTTTATGGTTTCCTTTGGTAGCATTAGCCTCTTGTCATGACAGTAAAATAAGCAAGACTGAAAGAAAATAATTCATAAGACATGTTAATCTTCTCCTCCTCTGCACACAGAGGAAGTGGGCTCACGACATAACATACTGATTAAGGAGACACTGTTCAAATCTCGATTAGGGCACTGACTAAGCTGAGGTTTATTAGTTTTCCCATTTCTCTAAGCAATGACAGGAAGTAGCAGAAATTAGTCCACAACTCTTCCCTTACACAGCATTCACAGTTCACTGTTCACTATCACTGAATCACTCAACACTGCAGTCCAAGTTACTGTTAGTCCAAACATATTTTTTATGTAATGGCTTTTTCTCATATATCTTGACAACTACATTTCAGATGATCACAGGGTGGTTGGAGGGGCAAACTGTCTATCAGCATAATACACTCCATTCCAAACATGTTTATAACGATAACTGCAAGCCAAGCAACAAAATTTTGAGAACTTAATATCCTAACACTTATCTTTTTTTGGAACAGTTATGATCTCACTGAGGAACGCGGTAGCGTAGCTGCTTGAGGCTCTATGCTACAAGCCAGAAGGTCGCAGGTTCAAGTTCCAATGAGGTCACTGCATTTTTTCAATTTACCTAATACTTCCAGCCGCACTATGGCCCTAGGGTCCACACAGCCTCTAACAGAAACGAGTACCAGGAATATTCTTGGAATAATCTCGGGGGTAAAGGGCGGCCGGCGTGTAGGGCTGACAACCTTGCCACCATCTATGAGCCAATTGTCTAGATAATGTGGGAACCTCAACATCTCACAACCCTATGGGCCTCCACATCCTGTTACAGGGATACCTTTACTTACTTTTACTTTTCATGATCGCCACTGTCAGTAGCCATTTAAGTTACTGACGTCCACTTGTTTCTGTGCACTGAATGCCACTACTGTCCTTATGCATCTTGCACTGAACTCACTTGCAATTCACCACACGAACTACTGCAGTGAACTCACTTTGTGATTCACCACACACACACACACACTATTCTAAGTCTGCTTTGACACATGTTCGCACTAGCCATCCATACTCATTAGGACCAAACCCAAGGCTGTCTTCCCCTTGCATGTCCACCACAGAGTTATGCATGGTACAGCTGTAGAACCATTCAGTGTCTATGTGTGTGCAATGGGGCATTTCGTGTTTCTTGAAGAGCCAAGAAGGGTATCTGTGGATGTGTGTAGGTATGAAGTTGCGAAGTGTCTAGGACAGGCGCATGCATATGCTTCCCCAACACTCAGTTCATGTGGCAACATAGCAGCTACAGGAAAAACTGAGTTAAAAACCTCACATAACATGTTTCAACCAACAGTGGTCATCATCAGGAGTTCAGCACTCAAAACAAAGACACACAACAATAGGAAGAGCTGCCCACCACAGTGGGACACAGTAGCACACAGACAGGACCACATATCAAAAACTGAAACTACAAAATGGAAGAACAGTAATTTTCATCAACAATTTTGAACAATGATGATGACCACTGTTGGTCGAAACATGTAGTGTGATGTGGAGACACTTTTAAATAAGTTTTAGAAAGATGTGTTGAACGCAAGACGGTTGAATCAGTAACTTGAATACTAACTGATGGGTAAGAGGATGCTGCAATGTAACTTTACAATTTAATTGAGCAAACATTTCATTCTATGAGCATTTATTTTTTTCTGCAAAGCCTGAAAACGATATGTTGGTAGGCTCTCTGGACCTGCTACAAGCAGCAGTGTAAGACAAGCCTGAACTGGGCTACATGACAAGAACATGTACCTAAGTTGCTGAATCTCCAGCTCATCAGAATTCATTATTCATTCGTGGAATGTGGTTTTATCGCATCATATTACAAGGTATTCACATACACTTACGCAGATCCCCATCGGCCCTCAAAATAGTTGCCGTTAGCCGCTATGCAAGTCTGCCAACGTTGATATAGCTGCCGAAAACATCGCTGAAACATATTGGCAGTAAATTCCTGTACGATGCTTTGTGGCCATTCCACGAACTTACTGACTGTGGCAGTATGTATAATACTGATGAGACAAATCTATTTTCCAATCTACAACCTAACAAAACCTTCAATTTTTTAGATTTTCGCCATGGTGGCATAAAGTCTGACAGAAAATTACTGTACCCCTTGCGTACAATGTTGATGGTAGTGATAAGCAGCCATCTAACTGGAAAACACAGAAATCCAAGCTATGACCTCTTTCTTCCTTAGCCTTTACATTCATCAGTTATAATCATCTTACCAATGCTACATAATAACAACAGTTGATAAAGCATCATAAAATAAACCCAAAACCATGTTTGCATCCACATCTACACTGTTAAGTGTTCAAACATTTATTTTTAAATGATCTTCCAAAGTAATGGTACAAAGAAAATCAAACTTTCTTTCCACTGTACCTTTCTAATTTCCTTGATTTTACATTTACTTCACGGGCCCCTTAAAGAACATAAAATCAAGGTTTCACTGAATATGACAAATGTTTTAAAAATCGCCAAATGGTGGTATGGTGATGCTTTGGTCTTCTGAATTGTATGTTTGGACTTGCAGTAATTAGCACAAGAAATGTTAAAGAAAAATATTTTTCTGGTCAACATAATAGTGTACAATGGACCAATTCAAATACTGTATGTTATGATTAGCATAAAAAGTCACTTCACTGTTTCAGGTTCATAATTTCACACATAAACATAACTGCATACTCAGTGATGAGTGCACAAAATATCCGAAGTCTAGCAAATCATTAAAAACAATACAATTAAGATATGCAGGTATCTCAAATATCCATTGCAAATTACTGAAATGAAAACATGAGCATATGCATAATCAACACCAAACTGTTATAATAACGAAAGGTTCTAGAGCACGGATTGCTAATTGTGCCCCCATCTGACAACTTCATGTCCTCAGAAAACTGTCTGGGTGTCTGCAGAACTTTTAAAATATTCATAATAATTTCTTAGTTTTTCAGAGATCATTGCAAAGAACAAGGCAGGTTCACTCTACAGACTGAATCTCTTGCCAATGTCAAGGCATTCTGAATGTTGACACTGTGTTCCTATGCTACATGAATATATATAATGGTGACACTTTCTACAAAAATACTTTTTATTCACTAAGTATCTACATGACAGTGTGCCAAAATAATGTATAAAACATATCCTGATGTAAGAACACAGGTGTAGAGCTGTTCATAATCTAATTATTTAAATTCACATTTTCTTTCAGCAGATTCATAAAATGCTGACTACAGTGGTCGTCCAATGTAAGGGAAGAAATGTCTTCACTTGCTCGAAAGCTGGGATCGTGGGTTCGAACCCCACTCAAGGCATGGCTGTCTCTGTATAAATAGTGGCCTTGCAACAAGCTGATCCCCCATCCAAGGAGTCTTACCGACTGTGTATAGGATTACGAAACTGAAAAAAAGTAGCTTAGGTCCAACAAAATGACTGCAGGGCCACAGATAGACAGATTCATAACATGCCTACTATAACTTATAGACTTCTCGAAGTTCCCATCATTCAAAAGAAATTTGCAACCCGTTTCTTCTCAGATGCAGTCCTGCAGAACGTCAACTGACGTTTCACAGGAATATGCTGCCTCCATATTTAGTGCAGAAGCCTCTTGCAACTGCTTCATGCTGGCTTCTTGCTTGGCTTATTCTATAACTCTGGAAATGGAGACAGCATCTTCCTCCAAAACGTCAGCTGTGCGAACCCCAAATCCTACTCTGCTTTCAAGCACTGGAACTTGCAGCAGAAACAAACTAAGCATAATATGGCACGGGTACTCACCTTTGCTGCAACAATGCTGAGTCCCATACCATTGTTTGACTTGTTAAGTTTGATGACTTGAATTTCAGGTTCTTGCCGAGGAGGTGGATAGCCGCCTGATCTATTGCTCATTGCACTTGGACTTCGAGCCTGCAATATCAATTTCCCGATTAAATTAAATTTAGTACAAAGTAAGCACCACAAATTAAACCACCTGTGAATAAGCAGTGACACCATTTACATTTTAATGCTTCATTGCAAAATAGCCTAATTAACAAACGACAACTAAACCAAATTCTTAAGGGTTCCAACAATGGTATATTGCATTAGTACTTCTGTACTTTGTTCCATGGCTAGGGATTCTCTCCAACCAGGGGGGGGGGGCAATAAGTGGTTTGGATTAGTTTTCTTTTTTTTGTTACAGACAAAATTAAGCAGGTACCTCTCACCTTAGGACATGAGCCCATCCAGTTCCTGGAATGCTGTGTTCTATTTTTTAAAGTATAAAATGACAAGTAAGATCCAGAAAACCAGTAATATTAAATTAAACTAAGCTATATTTAATATATCCTACAGGCTAGCCATGCTTTCCATGCCTTTAATAACATAGTATGAGACTTTAAAACAAACAAACAAAGTGGCCCATCTTATTTTGAATCTCAGTCTTGTGACAGTGCATGGAAGAAAAATGAGAGCTTACCCCTGGATTGGGTTCGTGTGTCATGTATATGGTCCAGAGTCCGCTAGATGTGGGCTGCGTGCTCATTCTGCAGAGACCAGCATGCTGTAGAGGAGCCAAGAACTCGGCCAAACCCTGGGGCACACCACGCACAACATCACAGCTGTACCCATCTTCCGGCAGCAAGAACGGGAGCTGCAGCTCTCGCTCCTCTTCCAGCCTCACTTCCCGTCCATCGGAGCGAGCCAATTCATCTGCTACATTTTCTGCCACCTGCAGTTGATGCAAATTTGTTATTTACATATAGCCTGAACACATGCTGTAGTCTCTTAATAAAGGGAAATCCTAAAACTTGCAAAACCTACTCACTAGAGCATATCAGGATTCTGAAAGGCTCTACTGACATCTTCTACTATGGGTAGAATCTTGGTGTAAGGGTCATATCTAGGTTCTACAGGATGGGCAAGATATGTTATCAAATAACTGTAAAAGTAAAATCCAATAACTTTGGATCAGAAAACACAATCTACTGTTGATGACATCACTGAATTGCAAAACCCCCGTCTTCTATTGTTGCTTGGCGCAGACCACATAGAAGGCACAATCTCCCTTATACTGTTGCATGTTGGGAAGAGTTTACTGAGCCCGTTGCCTCGCAATACTTTTATCAAATCTCTTATTATCTGTCTTTTACTCTGTGACACACATGTGAAGTGTGTAACTGGACCTCTGAATTGTCTGAGAGGGTCCTATGTTATGCAGTCACTGCAATTTCCTGATTCTGTATCATCCGAACTGCCATTCCAGAGATGATTTTCATAAAGATTGCCACTTTTCCTTAAAACTTCACCTATTTGCTCATCTTCTATAATATTGTGAGCCAACCTGCACACAGTTAGGTTACTAAGAACACTGAAAAATACTTAGCAGACAAATTAAGAGAAAATTAAATACGTTTAATCATTACACAAAAATATGATACATCATGACCATATGCTAGTATCACAGTCTCTGCTGCAATTAGCAACAAGATTCTGTAGCAAAGATGGGAATTACCAGAATAAGAAAGGCGGCCAGTGGCAAAAGTAGGTGATAAGTAATTAACATAAACAAGGGTGCAATTAGGCAGGCAAATACCAGCATTATGTATCCTCAGCCACCACCCAAAGCAATCTCAACGTACCCTCACCACATTTTCTATCAGCTCATGTGGCAGTCGAGGTTCATCAGATGTCGGCTGATATTTTGACAGAAGGGCTCGTAGCTGTAGTGAGTTGAGTTTAAAGCATGTTGAGCTTAACGTTGCTAGATCATCAGCATTGTATTTTGGAGCCTGCAGAACAAACACAAGCAACAACACAGAATACAGAAAAAGCAACTTACACTGCATAGCACAGGGGTTGAGAGATCAATTACTGGTCCACACCTGGCTCTGAGATGCTCAACTATGCTATGCTGACGCTACAAGACTGTACTTAATCTAATACCAAGTATGAACTACTACTAGAGAAGCTTAAAGGTTTATCAAATGATCCACTGGTATGCAACTTTTGCTCTAGTATAAAGTGAACCACATCACCTTCTATAATTGAGAAATAACATTCATTTCTATTTACATCTATTTCTTGAAAAATACAATATTCTTACACAATATGCACAGCTTGGAATAATAATTTCAGGCTTCCACAGCAGTTTAGTGCTGAGATGGTAACGTCAATGCACACAAGTGGACTACACTGCTAATGTTTCAGAGATTCTTGACATTTCCAACTCCAACGTGAAGTGTCAATCTAATTAATGGTCGTTGGCAGTACTTATAGCACACATCCATCATTTAGACACGATTTCAAAACAGATCTTAAAATATCGATCAAAAATAAAAATAAATTTTGGAAACCTTTGAAATGATGAAAGGATTTTGTTCTGTAATTTCATCAATTATTTTTTTTATTGCTAGTGGGGTGGGACTAAGTCCCTTGTACTGTGGCCACTTCTGGCCTATTGTACCAGCCCTAGATGATAGGTGGGGGTGATTGTGGAGCAATTGGTGGAATGAAGATTGTGAGGGGAAACCGAAGTACTCGGAGAGAACCTGCCCCAGCGCCACATTGTCCACTACAAATCCCACTTGACCAGACCCGGGATCAAACCTGGGCCGCTGCAGTGGGAAGCCAGCAATCAACTGCTTAAGCTATGGCGAGGCCAACTAATTTCATCAAACTTCTCAATGAGTTCAAATACTATAAAGGGTGATTCTGGATTTTGAACATAAGATATTTCAGAACTGGATATTAATGACACAAAGGGTAGGAATTAGAATGGCAATGATTCATTCAGAGCAGCTGGCAGAGTTTTTCTATCATTTGGAGGTAAGACTTGCAACATCCTAATTTGAGAACTAGGAACAATGACTTAAAAATTTCTACAAAAATTATTAGAAACACACAACACAAAATACTGATGACAGCACAGCTATCATAAATTGACTCGCTGATCAGTAAATTCACATTTTAGGCATTTAATATTAACATAGCCGATCCATTTCAAAGGGTTCTGACGATGGCGTACAGGACTCAGAATGACTGCGTTTTTTGATTTGTCTATCATCCAGTATTCTAGAAACCAGAAAACACGTTTTGGAAACTGCATCTGTTCCCCTCCTCAGATGTGGGTGGAGACACCTACTCTGTAGAAACCCTTAGAAAGAACTAACCTCAAACACAGTCCAGTGATCCAAGGTTAGCTTTTTTTAAGGGATCCAACAGAGTAGGTGTCCCCTACCCCAAGGACAGAAAGAGATGCAGTGTTCAAAATGCTGTGTTTTCTAGTTTCTAGAATTCATTTATTCATATCCAGTCCATTTACTACATAACCTTTATTAATCCTCCTATTAACCAAAAATACCATGCTCAGTTAACGAAACTTGAGATCTCATGGCTTTGCCAACCAAATACAGTATAGTAACAGTACCTGTAAGAGATGTGCTGCTTGTATAATTCGAGCCAGATGACAATCAGCAGCAAGCTCCAACCCTTGTCGTTCTGCCCAAGCTTCTAACTGTGCCAGTTTTGATTTAAGTCTCAGACCCCAGGCTCTGGTGCAGTAACATACACTGTGGGGTTGCTGTGGATGTGGACTGGTGGGCGATGTCACCACCTTGTTGAAAGACCACATGTTGATGAAATGGAAGAGCTGAGAGAACAGCTGTATGGTCAGGGCAGCATTCACACGACATCTCCGCAGTAATGCCATTGCCGACGTCAACACCTGAAGAACCTGACATGCAAAAAAAAAAAAAAATATATATACCACTAAAATAAAAAATTTTACCACTGAGACAAGAGCGGAAGATACAAAACTACAATTTAATCTCTTCATGCATAACAGCTACAGCACTATTATTATTATTATTATTATTATTATTATTATTATTATTGCTCTTGGGATGGGACTAAGCCCCTTG